GGAGAGAAGTCAGTCCAAATGCAGGGTTTATGGAGGTGAATTCTCTGAGGCTGACGTAAGGGCCCACTGCAGGGAGAGCATGCTACCTCATACAACACAACCTTGGGGGCCTGGGTAAGTTACCAAGATTGGAATGATCTTTTGATGAGAAGTGCCTGAAGGAGTCTAAAAATCTTCTGCAAAATTAAACCCAGGGGCACAAAAGTGGTCCTGCTATTGGAACTGAGATAGAAGGACAAACTCCGGGCAGCCCCCTCCAGAATTGTGATAATGACCTTGCATTTATACTGTGTAAGACATCTAAGGCCTTTATTGGGAATCATAGGCTGGTTAGGTAGGATCACACATCTGTGATCACTCCTTGTAGGTGTGCATTTAAAAATTACTATTCCATAATGATCAGGCTGATGGCTGGAAGCTCTCTTCTCCTTTGCACCTTCCCTAGAAGGACACAGGAGAAAAACCCGCTAGGCGTGAGTATGGGGGCTGAATGCCCAGGAGGCTGTGGTCTGGACTCAGGCGAGCATTACTTCACACAGGAGCAAATTCACCAACACGTTCAGGAGCATCATGGAGCCAATGGCCCACTGGCTTCTGAGATTCAGGTCAGGTTGTGAGACACCTGGCCAGAAAAAATACTGTTTGCCTAAATACCCTTCCTTTGCAAAGCACGGACAGTCCTTTAGGAAAGTCCATTCAGATTGCAAGACTGATCAAGGTGGTATCAGACTCAGGTAAGGGAACTTTCCACATAAGGTAACATTTCCAAGTAAGAAAACGGGTGCCACTTGCCAAGCTGCGTACCTGGGCTGGGTCCACCCACATGGGGTGCCTTTTCCTAATGTGCACACAGGACCTGTAGAGGCTAGTGAGTAGTGCTGGGTAAGAGGAGGGGTAGGGATAGCAGCCCTCCAAAGCCAGAAATTAGCTGAGGCATCCTTCAGGGAGCAAGGCCTGATCACACCACACCCAGCTGGGCTGACGAGCCCAAGTGGACCGAGACTGAGGCCACTGAAGGGGGCTCCTTGCATGAGTTCTAGGCTGTTGACAGGTAGGGCTATTTGGGAACAACTTTTTTGAAAGAAGGGGTTTTTCCCGTTCCTTGTCATTGACCTTTTGCAGCAACTACAAAATGACTGGAACACCCACAGATGACTTAATGTTGCTGCTACAATGAGTCCTGAGAAGTTACTCTGAGAGACAGCTCATGCTTTAATCTGCCATTCTCTGAGCCCTCAAATAGGAGCTCTGGTGGTGTAGTGCCTACGGCATTTAACTGCAGACCAGAAGATTGGTGGTTCAAACCCCACCAGCCACTCTGTGGAAGGAAGACTGGGCACCTCAGAAACCCAAAGGGGGTTGCTATGAGTCAGAATCGACTTGATGGCAGTGAGTTTGAAGCCCTCAAATAACCACCTCATTTCCATCAGGAGAGAGTGACAGCTCAGGAACCTGAGAGAGGCCATCAAAAGGCACACAGTGTTGCCCACGCCACTTCCTAGCAAGGAAGTGAGTCAGAGGGCTTCCCTGCCTGCCCTGCTTTAACCTGTATCAAGTGGGAAAAATGCAAACCAGCAGGCCCCTGAGCTGGTGGCCAGGACTCCAGACACCACGGATCCTCTGCTGGGAGGTAGGTGTGGACACTTAACCTATTTTGATGACAAAAATAGGTTTCTCAGTTAATGTTGGTAAATTGCAGGGGTGGCTTCATTTGGCTTTTCTATCCTTTCCGTCCTTCCGCTTTTCCGTCGAATCAGTATCACTGTGTCTACCTCTGTAGGTACCGAACCAAAAACCCAAACCCACTGCCATAGAGTCAATTCCTACTCATGACAACCCTCTAGGACAGAGGAGAACTGCCCGATATTTTCAAGGCTGTAAATCTTTACAGAAGCAGACTGCCTCATCTTTCTCCAGTTCATGGCTGGTGGGTTTGAACTGCAACCTTTTTGTTAGCAGCTGAATGCTTTAACCACTGCACCATCAGAGATCCATATAGATAGATTCCAGTTATCATCCTCTTTCATTTTTAAGTCTGCCTTTTCCTTAGGAAGGCACAGTAAATAAGAGTCCGTTTCATTCAGTTTATGAAGAACTAGGTCCTTTAGGGCCCTGACCTGTGAGGTGCTCTGCTCTCAGCTGGGGCTTACAGTCTCCAGAAGGCAGTGGCTTACGGGCAGGAACACTGGTGGGAGGGTGGTCAGGATGGGGCATCATGGGTGACACTGGGCCCTGAGTGGCCATATTCGGCTCCTAGAGGGCAGGGGACTAAGAAGCCACCTTTCAGCTGAGAACAGTGTTTGTGAAAAGAACCAGGAGAACAGAACTGCAGTTTCTAGGCAGGGAGGATGCCTGGTTATACTCACAACTGTCAAGCTGCCCGTCAACCCCGTTATTATCCTTCTGGTATAAAAAACAATTAAAGAAAAATGGAGGCGGGGGGACCCAGACAGAAAAAAATGAGAATTTGTTCATTCCTAGAGTTAAACTTCCACATTTTCTTCAAGCGATTGACACAGATGACAAAAGGAAAGTCTGTGAATCTGAACAGGAGGCTCTGAGGTGAAGGCTGGCTGATGACCACGTGCTTGCTTTAGGAGCAATCCGAGCATGTATTCTGGGATCTGGATTATAGTATGATAACCAAACTTGGCTTCCTTGTAGTATCAGTAGCAGCGCAAAACACTTGGCCTTGAATCCAAGATCTGGGGACATTGGCAGCTGAAGTCAGGTGGTTTTCTTCCTTACCTAAAATATGCATTTACTGAAGAAAACCAGAGACAAGAGGCTGTCACTTCACCTGCGTAAATGAAGGGCCATCAGGGAATTAGAAAGCTAACTCCAGTAACTTCATTAACGGGACCCCGGTTGGCATTTGTTGGTGGCTGCAGAAGGAGGCTTCCAGCCCTCAACCTGCATGAAATGGGAGACAGCTGACTCTTCCCGTGTACAGCATTTGTCTCTGACGTCTGCACGCCAAGACACAAGGCACGTACACGAGACACGGAGGCAGTGCTCAGAAACACCTGACTGGATCACGTGCAAACTGATTCCCTTTGCTCTTGCCCACCAGAAAGTAAGAAGTCCCCTCGGCTAACTTCTATCAAAACTGCCATGAGGGAGAAAAGAAACAGGAAGCTTCTAGCACTAAGCTTCAAAATGGCCATTAACAAAAACCCAAAACTCACTGCCGTGGAGTCGGATCTGACTCACAGCCACCCCTCCTTGGGTTTTCCAGGCGGTATCACTACGGAAGTAGATTGCCCAACCTTCCTTCCGAGGAGTGGCTGGTGGGTTTGAACTGCCAGCCTTCTGGTTAGCACTCAAATGCCTTAGGCACTATGCCACCAGAGCTTCCCAAAAACGGCTATAGGCTCTACAAAATTCCTAGTGGAAAACTCCATATTTTTAGGGGAACTGCAAAGAAGGGCCGACTAAAGTGGCTTAAAACCAAGAAAAAACAAACAACCTGTTGCTGTCAAGCCAATTCCAACTCATAGTGACCTTGTAGGACAGAGTAAAAACTACCCTAGAGGGTTTCCAAGGTTGTAATCTTTACAGAAACAGACTGCCACATCTTTCTCCCACAGAGTAGCTGGTGGGTTCGAACCACTGACATTGTGACTAGCAGTCGAGTGCTTAACCACTGTGCCATGGGACTCTTGTAAAGTGGCTCAGAGAAAAGAAAAAGTACAACTGGTTCTGGGTAGGAGTGGCTGGCACCCTCACACTGAAGCCAGCAACAGAAACATCCCCAACAGCCTCCGAGGGCCAGGCCCATCACACTGCTGCAATGCAGGAGGGTCCGTGCCTAGGGACAGCCCAGAAACCCTCCAGCCTAATAGGGTAGCCAAGTCAGTGTCTCACGTGGTTCAAGTATTAACAGATGGGAAAGATTTTCTCTACTAATACATGCTTTGAAAGCAAGTTTCTGTAGCTTCTCTCCACCCAGAAATCCTTTAACTTAGTCAACCAGGACATGAAACGCTGTGTGAGAGTGGAATTCCTACGGTGGGCCCTGCAGCATTCAAGTTGAAGGTGATTAGATAATTTATCATCCAAACTGGGACACTTGAGAGTGAAAGAAAAGGAATGCTATTAATAATTACAGTGGGAAAACAGGCATGGACCAGGACTCTCCCAGGTCAACTGGGTAGAATCCTCAACCAACTCAAGCTATTAGTACCCGAAGTGTAATTGGGAAGAGGGGGTGATTGCCTAAGGGTATGCTCTGTACACGATCAATATTTTTGGGAAATGAGGCAAAAACCCAAACCCCAAGCCCCTAAGAGGCGGGTGCCAGCAGGCTCTTGGAGGTTGACATGCAACACTGGGGCTGACCCCCAGCCCCACATGGAGACTACAGAAAAACAGCTCACAAGACTCTTGCTGGAGAAACCACAGAGCACACAGCTTCCTTCACAAACATCTCATGTGATGTTCTTGGGGCTGAGATAGGAGGGTGGCTGTGTGGTTTCAACTGCCATTTAAAATGGTTCTTTCCTACCAAACCATATACATAGGCTTGGTTATAGCCCAAAACACCCTTGGTTTTCAAGCACCGTGAACATTTATAGGGGTTGCTGATACCATAGGCCTTGAAGGAATAGCATCTTCAGAGTTCCCCTAGAGAAGGATAATCTTAAGAGACCACAGAGCCCAGCTCCCTGTTTCCTGGGGAGGATTTCCTTCTTCCCCATGTTGCCCTTTGCACATCGTCTTTCTACACAACAAACAGTTCATGCATTAGTCTTACCAACAGGCTGAAACTACACATGGTAGTCAAAGAGTGTGTTTCATACATGATCAACATTTTTTGGAAATGAGGCAAAAACCCAAACCCCACTCCAGGCATGTTAAACCACACATTCAAACATTGGTTTTGGAACCGTGATGCTGGCCAGACAACCTCTTAGAGATTCACCCTGGACTGGGACCCCATACACCATGCTGATGTCTGTCCGCTCTTGGAGAAGCGAAAGGGGAAGAGAAACACTTACACTACTATCATCCATTCTCTCGCGCCTTTTAGATTTGTGTGTCTCATAGTCTTCCATGAGGGTCTGCATCAGATTCTTGGGCCGCTGAGATCCGGCAGCCTCTTCGGGGGCTAAGTCAGGGTGCAAGCTGGGACCTTCAGTTGTGGGGGATGGAGGAGGTCTGACTTTTTCTATTTTCCCTGAAACAACACGAAGAGAACACCCTTTCTAAGCTGGTCTGCTCATGACTGCTTTCAGGAAGAAAAGAAAACTGGCAAAAAGCAAGCTCTGACCTAGAGTGGTACCAGAATGAGGTTAAGTAAGGGTTATTTTAACACAAGAATCAAAGCACTTCAGGATAATGTCACAAACCCATCCAACAGAGAGTCAAGGAAACCAGTTCTCCAAAGTAAATGAGATCAATGAGGTTTGTCAGGTTTTCTGCAAGTATCTGTCAGACAGACAAGCAGACACTGGGAATGACTGTTTCGAGGCATGTATTCTATCACAGATGCAGAAACAGATCAGTAGAGGTGGTAGCAACTTCCAGCTTTAGAGACCCACCTCTCACAGGCGAGGAGGCCTGAGGCTCTGCAAAGCAAGGCTGTCCCCAGGTCACCGGGAGTCAGAGATGGCATCCAAGTCTCCTGGTTTTATCACCAGGTTCTTTCCTCTGTATCAGAGGTAACCAATTGTCACTTGCCCTGCCCAGGTTTTTGTATAGACAGGACAGTGTCGTCAAACCTTACAATTAGAAATAGGCTTATTCTCCCCCAGACCACCCTAGTCTTACATCATTAATTTACCTTACCTGTCAGGGTCCTGAAAGTATTGGGGTTTGAGACTCCCAGACTGTCACGAATGAATGCCAATGAAGGCAGCTTGTAGCAGAAGGTGTGTACTGGGCTTGGAAATGGTGAGATGTTAGCTCTTGAAATGCCCTCTAAGAATTCTCAGCATGAGGAGAGCAGGCTACTAATGAATTAAACAGTGTCATAGTGCCTAAGACATCTGACTGCTAACCAGAAGGCTGGTGGTTCAAACCCACTAGCTACTCCTCGGAAAGAAGACCGGGCAATCTACTTCTGTAGAGATACTGCCTCGGAAACCCAAGCAAGGAAGGGTTGCTATGAGTCGAATCAACTCAATGGCTGGTGAGTTTGGGTTTGTTGGTTTGGTCTAGTGACTGGTGGGGGCAATGGTGGTTCAGCAGGGGATGCCTTGCCTTCCATGTGGGAGACCTGGGTTCGATTCCCAGCTAATACACCCATCTGGTGGTAGAGGCTTGAATGTGGCTATGACGCTGAACAGATTTCAGCACAGCTTCCAGAAAGAGACAAACTAGGAAATGACCTGGTGGTCTACTTTCTAAATAAATAAATCATTGAAAACTCTGTGGATCACAATTGCTGCTGATCACAGGGCAGGCGCAGGACCAGGAAGCACCCTGTGGTGCATGTGGTTGCCTTGAGTTGAGGGCTGACTCGAAGGAAAGCTAACAACCATACAGTGACTCTCACCCAAAACCAAACCCACTGCCGTTGAATCAATTCTGACTTGCAGCGACCCTATAGGAGAGAGTAGAACTATCTCATAGGATTTCTAAGGCTGCAAATCTTTATGGAAGCAGATGGCCTCATCTTTCTCCTGTGGAGCAGTTGGTGGGTTTGAACCATCGACCTACAGGTTAGCAGCTAAGCACTTTAACCACTGTGCAACAGGGCTCTTTATAGTGAGATACTTTCACTAGAACCATCCACATTCCTCTCTCAGGAAACGTCTGGCCCTGGCTTCTGGCCCATTAAAACAAACAAACAAACAAACAAACAAACTCACTGCCTTGGGGTCAATTCGACTCATAGTGACCCCTCCTTGGGTTTCTGAGGCGGTATCTCTACAGAAGAAGATTGCTCAGTCTTCCTTCCAAGGAGTGGCTGGTGGGTATGAACCGCCAGCCTTCTGGTTAGCAGTCAAATGTGTTAGGCACTATGCCACCAGAGCTCCCTCTAGCCCATTAAGGGCTGGGTTTTATTGTAACAGAGCTCCAAATACAATTTTAAGTATCTCCCAGTACAAAACTCATACCTTTTCCAACTATGTTCTTCACGGGTGACATAACTGAAAAACCAAACTCACTGCCTTCCAGTCGATTCTGACTCACAGTGACCCCACCTCGGTTTCTGAGGTGATATCACTACAGAAGCAGATTGCCCAATCTTCCTTCCGAGGAGTGGCTGATGGGTGTGAACCGCCAGCCTTCTGGTTAGCAGTCAAATGCCTTAGGCACTACACCACCAGAACTCCTAGGGGTCTATAAACAAAGAATGTGAAGAAAACACACAAAATGCATGGTGCCATTCAAGTCTAAAATCTGATAACCACCAAGTTAAAGAGCCATTTGACTGATGCCGAACTTCTCACTTGGCCGCTGGCTGGTGTAGGTGGAATCACAAGGGAACGTGGGGCCACAGTTTCTGAGTGGGCTGCTGTTGCCCTGTGCTGGGCACAGGGTCCTGATGGAGCTGGACAAGCCTAGGGGTCAGACACCCAGGTTCTCATTCCTGCCCTTCTATCTACCAGCTTGCAGTTGCCTGCAGACAACCATTTTGGGTTCCCACTTTAATCTTGAACAGACCGCTTAACGCTTGAGTTCTCCGAGCTCCAACTTGTCTAGCTGTAAAACGATCATTTTGGAAGAAGCGTCTTTAAGGTCCCTTGTAACTCAAGCTTTTTGCTATGCTTATCAAATACACTGGATGACACGACCCTTATCGATTTAAGAAAAAAAAGGGCAGATATCCGTCAAATTTGGGGATCACGTGGGAAGTGATTTTTAACATACAGAAGAGCACATCCATCTGCACCACCTCAATTATAACAATAACAATAATTTAGTAAAACCCACTGCTTTGATCTGAATTACCCCATTTTATATATATATATATATATATATATATATATAAAAGTCTTTTGATTTTAACAGTAAGATAAATGTTTCAAAATCCCTGGATTCACCAGAAGTGGTTACGGAAATTAGAGAATGCTATAACCTCCCTTGTCTACCCATCACCCAGATTAAACATTTACGTTTGGTGCCTGCCTGCCAGCCCGATTCTCTTATACAAAGCCAGGCTTCAGTCCTTTCACCCCTGCATGCTCAGTACGTTATCTCTAAAAGTTCCCACTGCCTTTATAAAGGGAGGCTTGAGAAACACCGCTGCATATGGTGAGTTCTGCGTCACTCCGCTGGGGTTTCAATCTACTACCTAGCAGCCAAATAGCTTGGGGCAAGTTACCTACTGTTTCTGTACCTCAAGCTCCTCATCTGTAAACTGGGTCTGATAATAGTGGTACAGCTGTTATAAGAACTAAGTTAATATTTAAAAGAACAACATAAAATGAATCTAAACCAAACCCACAGCCATCGAGTTGATTCCAAATCATAGCAACTCTATAGAACAGAGCAGAACTGCCCATAGGGTTTCTGACGCTGTAAACATTTACGGAAGCAGATGGCCTCATCATCCCCAGAACAGCTGGTGGTTGGAATCACCAACTTTTTGGTTAGTTTTAACCAGTGTGCCACCCGAGCTCCCTGCAATGAATTTAGCTATTATTTATTTTGGAATCTCAAAGAATAATTTGACAAGTGAGAATTAACAATTCCATGGGTATTCTGCATAAAACTGTACAATTCTGCTGCACAAACCAAACCAAATTCACCGCCATTGAGTCAACTGCTACTCATAGCGACCCCCACTGGGTTTCCCAGGTGGTAAATCTTTACAGAAGTAGATTGCCCCATCTTCCTTCCACAGAGTGGCTGGTGGGTTTGAACTGCCAACCTTCCGCTTAGCAGTCAAATGCCTTAGGCACTATGCCACCAGAGCCAAGTTACATAAGCTAGTGACATCTGAAGTTGGTTCTGGAACCCAAATCCAGCATGCATTATGGCTGTTACTGGATGGGATATGTACTGAAAAGAGAAGTGGTCACTCACTAAACATTAAGCTACTTCCTGCTTATTTTTTACCATTCTATCCATCCCCGGAACAAGTTTTACTGACTATAGCCGCTAGAGGGCGAACAGGTAACAGGGAAGAAAGATTGACACAGCAAGTCTGGAGTAGCTTCTTCCAAAGAGAAGGGGCCTGAGAACAGCCTCTGAGGGAACAGAAGCTCCTGGTAACAAGGTCCACATCAGAGCTCCAGAAGGGCTGTTACAGGCCCCCAGATGAAAGATGGCACCCCATCCTTGAGCTTCTGGCCTTCAGTTTGGCCAAGCATCAGGGAAAGTCAGTTAGTCTGGGCTTCTCTGCTCAGCCCTTGATGCTACCTCTGACCATCCTTCCCCCAGAAGGGTTCAAACTTTGCAGAATTCTGCATCTTAGGAAAATTAAACAGATGACCAAAAAGCTGGCGAAGGACTTGTACCCCACTTGGCATCTTTCATAGAGGTTCAGTTTGCAGCCAAGTCTGCTAGCTGTCTCCCCACCCCAAATCTGTGAAAAAAGACTTCTAATGCTTTTTCCTTGACAGTGCACCTGCAAAGGTCACCACTGTTTGGTCCCCAGAGATCATTACAGGTAGTCCTCAGATTACAAACAAGTTCCATCACCAAGACTGCACATAAGTTGAATTTGTGCTTAAGTCAGAACAGTTAAGAATTGTTCATATCTGATGTTAGTCAAATGTTTATCTTATTATCTAGTGTACCTTTCTATGCATTAAAAAAAAAAAAAGCATTTAAAGAAACATTTCCAGATATACATGCACTAAACCATCATAATAACACAGTAATAATAATGTTTTGATGCTCACCACAAAGTAGGGTCTGCTTGTTATTATGAACCATTGTATGGACCTTACATTTTTAATATAACAAGCTTGACAAAGGAGTTGGTTCATAACTACAGGTTGTATGTAAGTCAGATATTCATAACCTGTACATATAGACAATGGAAAGGGCCTATGCCACAGGCCTGGGTAGTATGCACATCCTACTCTTGGGACAAACTTTTTGCTGCATTACAGGGTAGTGGTAATTACAAGGTTAAACCCTTCAAGTTCCTTGGTCTGGTCCATTAGACTCACCAAAGGGAAGGTAATCTTTGATGTTCACTTCCTGTTGCTCTGGTGTACACTTCACTCAGCATTTTCCTCATACTCCTAGGCCCCATCCTTCTTGCTCTCTCATATT